ACAGACAGGGTCGTCCCAATATGCGTTTTTGCAATTTGCATATAGGCAAAAACGCATAAAAATTGACATTTTATACAATCAACTAAAAATATACCTTCCATTGGTGCTGTCACAGACTGCAACTCGTAAAAAAGCGAGATCAACAAATACAATCCGAAATGTTGCAGTATGATTCCAGATTGGATTTACCGAATTCCGGCTTACTATTTTAGATTTTTCTTTAGCACAGTCAGCTGGTATTCCGATAATTTCCATTTCAACATATGATGAAGCACTATGCTGATTTGGGCAAATGTGCTGGCCAGATATCACCTAAAATTGTTAATATAATCAAAAGTTTTATAAAATTTGATGTTAGCAGAAACGTAAAAAGTTTAAGAAAAAAAAGTGAATGTCGATGAGACGAAAGCATGATATGGAAAGACAGTAAGCCCATCCACGAAACAAAAATTAAAACGGGCTTTACTAACCGTGACTGTATAAAGCAATGCAGGTAGCGAAGAAACATCTTTATCATACGGGTTGAAGTGATTGTAGTATGGGTGGGAGTCGTCCCAAAAAACACGCGGTTTCAAGATGTAGCCAGAATTCCCGGTCTGTTCGAACATCGCTGCGTTAACTGCCATTGCAGTGTCAGCGGTTTGAAAATTTAGCGCGACCATTTGTATGCCAAATGCCCAATACTGAACAGGATTAAAATTGGAGGAGTCAATGCGCATGCCACTCGGATATGTCCTCATCAGCTGGTTTCGCGAGAAAGCAATGCATTTCAGTGGATGTTTCCTGGAATACTATTGAAATAGTAAAATAAACATTGCGCTGCTTCTGAAAATTTCCAACCCGGACAACAGGATTGAGAAATAACACTCCCGGCTACTTTTTTTTCCTGTTAACTCATTCGGCTTTTATTTTCGTCCTCGCTCCACTCAAATACCCTGCAGTAGCTAATTTACGCCTAACAAGTTGGGATGAAGATAAAAATTCAATAAGTGCTTACCTTGTAAGTTTTTTGGCCGATGGTTCATTTAGCGAAGTTACTTGATAGCAGGGCGCATTGCTGTTAGGTCTCAGTGACGAAGATGACAAACTTTTTTCTTCGCCGCACTTAAATCTAGTATCTCCGGAAGTTAACGCGGTACTTCGTAATCGACGTGGTGGAGTTGCTATAGAAAGCAGATTGGAGCCTGTTCGATTTCGTGCTGATGCATATACCGCGGTTTTCAATGGTTCTTCTCGTTGTTGAAAAGCAAACCCTGTCATTCCAGGAAAACCCTGGAAAATATGCTTTTACGAGTTTTGCAACAAAACAAATATAAATATTCGCAAAAACAAGACTACCGTCAACGATGCGCATGTATGCATGATCAAGAATAATTTTTCTTTAAGTTCTGGGTGAACCTTACCTTGAACTTAACAGCTTGGGCGTAAATAACAAGCTCTGATAATTCGGGTGCAATTGGAGCTCTTGGTGCCTTCTTAATAGGCCTTCTTGTCACCGCCTCCAAATTTACAGATGCAGATTCGTCGTCCATTTTTAAATCAAATATAGGACCTGCCTAAAATCTCAAATGATCTTTTCATACATCTATTTTTATGTGTTTTTGCTGATATGCAAATTGCAAAAACGCATATTGCAACGACTCTGTCTGTGTGTGTATATTTGTGTATGTGTGTGTGTGCTCGTCTGTCCGGACATTTCAACTCGGCAACCAAGCAAGATCCGGCACCAAAATTTTGCTTGTGGGTTCTCCGGCCAAGTGCCATCCCAGGACCGCGGTACAACCCTCATTCAATTCTGGGCCCCGCGTACAAGTGGGTGAAAGTTTTGGTGGGAAAATCGCTAATTCAGGAACCAGAAAAGCTAGAAAGGTTAAATTTTGAGGCTATGTTCTCCGTCCATATGGAACTCAAAGATTTCAAATTCAGCCCCCAGCGTGGTACCCGCACATGATGTCCTGAGAGTTCCTGGCACGAAAATCGCTAACTTTGGAACTAAGGAAGCTGGGAAGCTGGAATTTTCAGGGAATTTTGGCAGAGAACTACCCGTTGAACAGTTGGGTCATTTTTAAAAAACGACTGCTAAACGGAAATTGTTTATTTTCGTTTATGCAAAATTTATTTCCTACGATTTACGGTATTGAGTGCACAGGGTAGGTGCGAAAGAACAGCCTTCATGTAGTTGATCTAATTAGTTCAAGTTGGGTGCAACAAAGTATGATCGCACCGGCTCGCCTGGTGCGTTCCAGCTTTAGTTATACAATCCCATGTACTGCAGATTTTGTCAAATGTAATTCAACCGAACATGGTGTTTAACTATGAAAGAAGAATAAGCTATATTTAAGCAGCCAATCAATATTTTCTTCACAAATTTTCTACGTGCTTAATATTTTTACACAAACCAAATGTGATGTCTTCAGCATATCAAATTTGTGTCCCTCTTCTGCTTCACTGGACGAATCATGTGGCCCGCTTCTTAGCAACTTTTTCGTTATTCTTGGACTTTCTGAATCTGTACGATCTGAAGCAAATAACAGCTCAAATTTGTTTGTGCATTTATTTGAAGTGCTGAAATTGGAAAATTTTTAAGGAAGACTTCCATCAATTACTAATAGTATGGGATTCTTTTTTAAACGAGGATGGTACGGACTTAACACCTAAAAAATGTTTACGCATATTTTTTTATTTTCTGCCTGTTAGTTCGTGCGTTTAATCCTGTTTTCAAAATTATCTTATTGCATTTCCTACACTGTGCATAGACTATGCAAATATCACTTTTTTCAGAAAGCCAAAAGAGGCTTATTTTGAAAAATGTCTCTCATAGAAAAGTGAAAAAGTTTAAAATTGCTGGATCTAAAGAACTGATGTTTAAGCCTACCATCACCATCGTCGTCATCTAGGTCGTCATCAAACTCGTCCAGATCATCTTCATCTGTTGCATCTAGCCCGCTGGAAAATATGGCTTTAAAAAATCATAAAAAGATCAATAAAAATTGATGAGTAAATCTGAGGGACAACATAAGTTATTTTTGTCTTTTGTCTAAATCGCTGAAGATAAGAAAGTTATGAAACATCGAACCACATGCAGCGGCTGTATTGTCACGATGGTAATCCGAAAGTCCATATCCTCTACGCCCTTGCATTAGGACGAGAACATAAGAATTAAAGTTTCTGGATCTGCGCATGGCCGGTAATGAAGCTCTTGAACTTCAAACTCTCACTTTTAGGACTTGTACAGTTAAATTACTGTGGCATACGTGCATTCACATACACATTGAGGCATTCCCGATCTCTTCAAAATGTGATTTGTGATAGTTTGTGCAGATAAACCCCAAAAGAGAAAGAGTCGGCCGCCGTGGCGCCAGTATTCATCCCTCACCAATCATCGCAAAAGCAATGACTGCTTGAAATTTATAAAAGTGGCAGAAAAAAAACAGACAAAAGAATAAAGTAGTAAGCAAGATATAACAAGACATAAAATACGTCATCCAAACCGTAAAAACATGTGGAAGATAGTTCTCGCTCACTACTTTTTGCGATGGGGTTATGGTTGCTGTATCTCCAAACTTAAGTGTTAAGAACAAATGTGTTGTCATACAAAAACATCCAAAATTTTTTCAAAAGAAATAAAATTTTTTGAATTCTTAACTCTGCCTATTCTGCTAATCTTAAGTTTGTAAGCAAAAATTAACATAAGTTGATTTAAAATTTTAAGCCTCAATTAAAATCAGAAAACTTCGCCAAAATTTGAAGCATGTGTTTTTTTGAGCTTAAAATTGGGAGGAACTGCCTTGAATTCGAAGCTTCGGTCAACGATAAGTGCTTAAAATGATCTGAAAGTTGTCTTCGGTTTTGGACTTTCTACACGATCGAAAGTACTGTTCGCAGAATTTCTTCCCTTTAGTTCGCATAGTTCCGGAGTTAAAATGTATGGTCAAGCAGGGAAACATAATCGGGCCTTAATGCGTTCTTGAGTTACATAGTGAGACAAGAAGGTATAAAAGTGAAAGAGAATGCTAATGACAAACTTTGCTTGCTCCATCATCAGTTCTGCTTCATTTTTTGTCATCGATTTATCCAGCTGTAGACCAGCGCTTGGCTCTGTGACCATTTTTTTATTTTTGATCAAAATTTTGTTCCGTAGCTGCCATGGTGACGGAAGACGTGGACGATCGCTATAGTCAGCTTCAAACAAGAAGTTTGTGACCAGACTTTCGCCAAGATAGTTCTAAAGATCGGCTTCACAGAGCGAATCAAGTAAACCAATGATCAGTACAAATCTGCGCAATTTCGGCGGAATTTTTTCCCATCATTCAGTAAGGCTTTTCTGATATCTGTACTGTTTGATTGCAGTGAATGAAAAACATTAGCTTTGCCAAGGAGATGCAAGGGTGAATAGGAATACCGGGAGAAAGGGAGGGAAACTAAATAGCGGCTCGCACCAAAATCTGTGACCTCAAAGTTACAATTCGAATGTTAGTCAAATATGGCTGCAAAAAATAATGTGTTGCAAACTGCGGCCACAAAAAAATCAGTATCCATACACTGCAACAAAGAAGATCGTGAAGAACTGTTTTAGGTTTTTAGGCTGCACATAACTTGGAATAATACTCTCAAAATTAGCTTTCTAACTTTAATAGTTCTGAAGCTGAATCACTGCCACACGCACATCCCCAAAAACACACACATACGGATACTGTCTTACCATAAGGCGTTTTTCATTATATAAGAATCACATTTAAAAAAATGTAATGCTTAAAATGGAACCCTGAACATCTGCGCCATTCGTGCCTGCTGCTGAAGCGAGCAGTGATTTTCGATTGATAGCACAACGGGTAAATTGCTTGTAACAAAGGCACTTTTCTTGATAACACTGAGCACTTGCCGAAAGCCAATTTTGGATGTTAGCGTATGACCATGGAATATTTGCGGCAAACCATCATCACCGTCCCAGCAATCCAATTCAACACAACGACAACCCGTTAATAGCACCTGTACGTAGCTGATTTCAATTAAAATCTTCAACGCCCGAAATCGCGCCTGGTCAGAAAAGTACAATAAGTGTATTGACGAAGTTTTTTGAACCTAAAAATAATTTTCTAACGAACTAAATGTCCTTAACATTAATAATAAGCACTAATTAACGGTTTGTTTCAAGAAAAACCGCACCTGACGATACATTTCAGCAGATGATTCCCCCTTAAGCTGATGGCCAGAGAGGTACGTATTATGACTGGAGCAAATAAAGTAATAGCTTAAAGGATGATCAAGTGTACTGGGATCAGGTTTAACTGCTTCCGGTATAAATGCATAATTCGATGAATCCATCATGTAACGTACAAAACCTTCAAATGAAAGTTGGTGATTGTTCCGGCAAGCAGCATCCGGTTCATGCTCCTGAAAAGGGAAATTTCTTGCGAATGATAACTTCAATCTTTGGAAACGCGCACCAGGCGAGCCGGTGTGATCATGCGTTCTTGCACTGTTTCGTACTATGGTAAGATTGCTTGTAATCCCAGTAGCTAGAATTTGCGACATGCTGGTCCTCGAATTTCAGGAAGCTAATTGTGCAACTACACAGGGAACAATCCTTTAAAATTTCACCTTTCCAGCTTTTTTGTTTCCCGAATTAGCAGTCTTCCCGTTAAAAATTTTGACGGGACCGTACGTGAGAATTAAGCATAGCGGTGGATTGAATTTGAAAGTTTTAAGTTTTACATGGGCAGGGAACATCCCCTCTAAATTTAAGCTTTCTAGCTTTTCTAGTTTCCGACTTAGCGACTCTTTTGCCAAAAACTTTCACGAGACCGTACGTGAGAGCTACACACACCTGGGAGCTGAATTTGAAATTTTTAAGTTGTAGGTGGGCTGAGAACATCCCCCAAATTTTCAGCCTCGCCTTACAGCTTTTCTGGTTCCTGAGTTAGCGATTTTCTCGCCAACACTTACACGGGCTCGTAAACAGGGCCCAGACGTGCGTAAGGGTTGGTGCCGCGATCTTGGGGTGACACCTACAGGCAAAATTTTAGCACCGAAGCTTGCTTGGTTGCAGATTTGATATACTCGAACAAGTAGACACACACACACACACACACACACATACATATACATATACACACATGCATAAACACACACAAACATATACGCACGCACAGCATGGGTCGTCACAATATGCGTTTTTGCATTTGCAAATATGCAAAAACGCATAAAAACTGAGAAAAGTCTGATTATACTGGTTTTTGCATGTGTGCCAAATCTGCATGAATATTTAGCAAAGGAAAGGCAGAAAGGTTCAGACCTGAATGAGTTTAATGGCATATTCATCATCAACAACTTCCATTTGGTGTAGCTCAATGAACCGCTTCAACATCGCAGGTGTTAAAAATGAGCTTCGTGAAGTATCCATTAGGCCCACACTAAATTTATTTTCGAAATCATTTTTCACTTGACACGCATGTCATGCAGCAAATAGTGTGGTGATTAGAGGAGGAGAGGAAGAAAGGAAAGGGAGGATAGAGGGAAAGGCAAAAGTACATTCGAAAAACCGGCAAAAGCCCTCTTTCTATTCCTTAACTGTGTCCAAGCTGACCTCTGTAGCTGGACGACGAAAATTTGGAAAAACAACGCTTAATTTTTGATCGCCATGCGTCGGATCTAGGAAGAAATAATATTCTTCGATTTTGCTTTTGATGACTTGTAGCTGCTTCAGACAGCATTCAGCTCATTACTTCTAGAATGCCAATTTGAAAAAAAAAACCTGTTAACACTGGCAAGAGCGAGCGCGTTATATATTTTTTGCTGCTTTTCATTAATATGATGTGCTGTTTTGAAGCTATTTCGAGTGAGTACGTCTGAAACATTCAAGTTACAGAATTGTTGTTGATATGTGGCGATTCAACAAGAAATCCACTTTAAGTCGTTTAGCCCTGGCTGCCTGGGTGAAGCTGTCGCAACGAGCTCAAAAAGAATCCATAAGCCGTCTTAAAAAAGTAAGAAGTCCTGCTTCCTGAATTTTGCAGCGGTAAGATAATTTTCTTCAGTAGCTACTTGCCAATACAGTTTCAGTCCTTCGTAACTGAATCTTCAGTTTTCGAAATATTATAGCGCGTTATACAACGAGCGTATCTGCGAAAGTGATGGTGAACTAGCTTACAAAATATCAAAATCGACCTATACGTCTTGAAGAAGAACTAGAAAACACCCGTAAGTCTACAATTTTTCGCTTCAGTTAGCGTCTAAACTGGAAAATGCGAAGACAAATCCCTTTCTTCAGCAAACACATTCTATGTGTTTAAAAAGTGTAGTATTGTAAGGCTTTTTATGCGTTTTTGCTGTGCAGCGCTATAGAGCTGCTACAGGCAACAAAAACGCATATTTTCGAGAGGGTATTTTTGTGTGTGTGTGTTTAGAAGTGAGTGCATTTTGTCACCCAATTTCATCTCAACAAAAAAACCTTTGTCTGGCTTCCAAATTTAGTGCTTCTTGAGCAAAGGCTTTTACGTGCTCATACGTGCGATCCAAACGTAGGTAAAAACTAAATTTAATTTTGCAAATAAATTAATTTCAAACTGAAAAGTAATGCACTTTCCTACTCTTAACTGTTTAGTTGCTTTACGGAATTGTGCAAGAATGAATGAGTGCATCGACAGCCTCGGTGCAAAGAGAAAATCATTGGCGAAGTGCACTAAACGGGCCTGTGCGATCATGCGTTTTTGCTATTTTTTGTGTTGCAGTATGATCGTTTAAAATCACAATAGGTAGAGTTTGTGACATGGTGGTCTTCGAACTTCAGGAAGTTAATTGTACGACTATCACGTGGCATTTGGGAAGGGAACATTCTGTTAAAATTTCAGCTTTCCAGCTATCACGGTTCCCGAGTTAGCAAATTTCCTGCCAAAAACTTTCAGAAGGCGTACGTGACTACCACGCACGCCTAGGAGCTGAATTTGAAGTCCTTGAGTTCTACGTGGACGAGGAACATTCCCTCAAAATTTCAGCCTCCCAGCGGTTTTCCCGCCAAAAATTTCACATGGAAATATGCGGGGCCCAGACGTGGATGAGAGTTGATATCGCGGCCCTGGAGTGGCACTTTACCGGGAACCCGCTGGCAAAATTTTTGCTCGAAGTTTGCTTGGTTGCCGAGCTGAAATACCCGGACAGACGCAGACACACATAAAAACACACCGGGGTCGTCGCAATACGCGCTTTTGCGTTTGCACACATGCAATAACGCATAACTGCTTTATCTATCCTCCGTTACCGTGGCAGATAAAACATTAAGAATATACCATTGGGCATAAACTCGATGCCAGAAGACGAGGGCTCATTTTCGGAAAATCTCCGCTGCTGCTTGTCACGATCACGTTTAACTGCATTTGCACTGCTACCGCATGTTACGAGACATCCATTGAACACATCTCTAGAAATGAGAGTAAACTGAATTTTGAAGCTCAAATAACGATAGGGTCAGAAATATTGGTAAGTCTGGAATAAAAAAAAAAAGAAAACAAAAATTGCGCAGAATTATACAAAACATAACGAGCTTACTTGAGATCCTTTCGCATTTTGGTGCTGAATAATTTGTACAGTTCGACAAATTCGAATAATGTTACAGATTTTTCATGGTACTCTCGTTCCGAAGAACTCGATGCCAGCGCGTGTTCCTTGCCAATTAGCGGGCTCAATCCCGTCAATTCCACGTTTTTTGATCTACAGATACTGTAGGAAAATGAATGCCATTTGTAAAACCAGCAAAAATGTAACGATTTAAAAAACTAAGTGGCTGTGTCTCACTAGTGAACTAGTGTTATGGACTGGAACAGGAACTAGTATTCAGGCTTGGAATATGAACATTGTCGTTGACGCGGGCAGCCCAAACAATCAAAAATGAATGGCCAGCAATTTTATTGCAGCATGAAACGATATTAAACCAATCTATTTCGCCTGAATAGAGACCTACTTTTTGGACTTTGTAGAATAACCAGGGCCATAAGCTCTCGTTGACTGTGTTCTCGATGCGTACCAAGACTTAAGGCTAGATGTTTCGGCTGAAGAATTGCTTTCACAAGATCGCAACAACTCCTTTGGTGTACTTGGACCTGACGCCGAGCACAGCTGGCCTCGCACGTGATTCCGCATCGAGGAATAACGCGTCTGCAATAAAATCAAAGTTTTTTAGCAAAAGATGGTGATCTGAAAAAGCGTGCAAGAGCTTAACTGGTTTCTTGTAATAATGTGACTTTAAATCATTTAGATGAAGCAGATGGTGAAGCAGCGGTATGTTCTGTTCCAGAAAGCGCGTCTTGTAGACACACGGGTTTTATTCAAAAATTAGTACTATTTTCGTGCTTTCGTACGTTAAGTCTCTAAATTTATTAAATTGGCTCCGATCTTCGTCAGGAACAGACAACTGTCTCGAACGACGTAAGAACTGCGACATCATAATACCAGCACCTTTAGAATGGCCAGGTGATTTTTGCAGCACCAGTAATTCATCAGAAATCTGTGTTAAAATCTGTTTATATTTGCATTACATTATGTTAATGTCTGCCTCATCCAACCTGCTAAAAAGATAAGGCTTGAACTAATCTTCGCCATGCAACGAATGATGCTTATATTCGAAGAGAAGAACAAACTGGGGTATGGCGAACAGTCGCAGAGTAGCCTAATTTTTAAGGGAGTAGCAGGATCTGAAGAAAAAATGACTGGGAAGCTTTTGAACTTAATCTTCCGCAACTGCGGCGTAAACTGTGTAAAACTTCCGAAACCGTTTCTAAAGCAAGTGTTGCGATACTTTTAAGGATAGAAGCGGTTGAGGGCTTTCTGACCGAGCACCAGCGCGTCCTGCAGCTTTCATCCGTCGAGTTACAGCATTTGTCATTTGTTTCAAGCGACTTTTCGTTGCTGCTGGCTCCACAGTTACCAGCGATTCCGACTGTTGTGATGCTGACAGCACATTTTCCAACCCTGGGAGGAGAAAATGAGTAAAATATTGTAAAAAGGCGCCTATTCCAGCAAAAACAATACGAATTTTATGAATTTTCCAAAATTTGTAAATAGGCAAACTAGTCAAGTGCATTCTTGTACAAGCATATATAATTCAACAATTAATGCCTGCTGCTGTCACAAACGGCTCGAAAAATTCAACTGCCAAAAAAGCGCACCTAAGTTTCTCCATCTCTCGACGCGTCCGCCGAAGGCTTGTAGAGCTTGCCAAGGACGTGGACCAAGTTCTGCACTTACTTCGTCCTGTCTGTTCTGCTGCAGCTGTTGCTTTTGCTCGTTGTCATTACATAAACGCAGATATAACTTTTTAAGCCAAATAACTCGCCGATCGGCGCACCGCTGCTGCTCCATTAGCTGGCTTATAACCTGAAAAGGATTTCACTACCAAAGCATCCGCGTTAGTACCGCCAGCAAAATAATTTAGTCCTTTAACCTTCAAAGCTAAAATTATGCTAGTATTCTCGAAACTCTTGCTACTACTCGCTTGCAGTTCCATTCATCTGATGTACTGGGGACCAAATGAGAGAGAAAAAAAAAACATTTGATAGTCCAGTGATCCAGTAATGAGCGCTTTGTTGTGGTGCAATAAAATACAAAAATTCGTTATCCGGCAAATGACAGCCGAAGTTAATCGTCCAACACAGCATCGGTATGGACATTTCCTCGTTGGTGTGACGCCGATAAATGCCCTGAAAATGTGGTCTGCGTATTGCCACTGACACGACCAACAGGTGGCCCAAAGATGAAATGGTGATGCAGCAGGTGGAGAAACGCAAGAGGTGTTCAAGTATTGCAGCTTCCAAACAAGCTTGGTTGATGCGGTATGTATATTCATGTGCATCTGGCCGTGAGCTTGCCCTTCCATCGAGAGGCACGGTAAACTCAGCTTCACCACAAATAACCTGAAATTAACTAACCTCGATATCCACATCATATGAGTCGACACTTTCAATGGATTTGACATAGCAAAGCTGTATAAATCCATCGTCTAAAGCAATATGAGCAGCTCCAGCAGAACGTGCATATGGCGACGTTGCAGGAGTACGATTATCGGCTGGTGCAATAGTTTGTAAATTCGGGCTTGACATACGTGTAGCCGATGATCCGTGTGTATCCTAAAAATATTTGCGAAATGTCGCTCCTCCAACTGCTTAAGGACAGACTTGATAAATTAGCAAATATGGATCATTAAAAGCAAAAATCATTCATGCAAAAAGTTAGTAGGCTTTATATTCTAGCAAATTTCGTATTCTTAATTTTATTTCCCATCCAGCCAGTTAATTTCAGCATCAAGCTGCCCATTGTTTTTATCACTAATTCAATTTTCAGCCACAAATTTCGTAAAGACATACTTTGTCTTTACTCTCCTTGCTTCCGAGGTATCCAACCTTGTGCCAAGATAGTAAGCTGCAACTTGGATCCAGTTTCAGCAAACAAAACGAACTGCGGCCAGTGTCCGGATCATAATGAATTACAGTGGTACCATGGTGAAGCCGCTGAATCACGTCCAAATCAAAACGGTTTGTATCCAGTGGCACCAAGGTAACATCCTTTGCAACACCGCGCACTGGTTGCACTGGCTCATAACCCTACAAGGACCATTTATCTTAGACAAGAGTAATGACTGAAGCCGAGTCTCATGGAGGAAAAATAAATAAAAAACAATTTTCAAATTTTCAGAATGTGATAATTCAGCCGAACCAAGAAACACACTTTCGAATCACGACTTTCTTTTCCACTGCTTGGCCTGTTCTCGTCGACAACAAAACCGGAAATATTTTTCTTGTGGCGATAAAATAATTCCAAATTATCAAGTACCACAGCAACCAGATTGATCTTGTTAGGATTTAACAGCCCACCCACAGCAATTTTAGATGAATAATGATCGTCCCCATTTTGTTCCTTCATGAACTGCAACACACTTTGTTACGCAAACAATTAATTCAAACCAAAAGATGAATCTATAAAACTGAACCCACCAGCACTTCTGAAGTTACTTTAAGCACATCATTAAAAAAAACCCCACCAGTAGCAATCAGAGCATTAGGAGATGTGTAAAATAATCAAATAATGCCTATCAAAGTTTACTTTGATTACTGGAAACCTTTTTTTCGTTAACTGCCACTGCTCGCAGCCATAAGTTGTGGCAGCTAGTGAAAAACAGATCCTAATCACATATAGAACTATAACTGAAAATTATTTTTCTCTGCTTTTAAATTTTGAACCGACTTTAACGGAAGGATGGAAGTCAGCTTGATGCTTTTTGTATAACTGATTTGTGTGTACAAAATGAATTATTGCGCGATCACATATACAGGTGTGCTCCGGCTTGTCCAAGAAATTCTGTTCCAGAATTTTTGTAAATTCTAGTAAGTTTCAGCAAATAATTTTTCTGCTAACATCCTTCTAATTTACCACCACCATTACTTTTTCCTCTACAAAAGAGAGAAGTTACCTCAAGTTTGTCAGTTTCGCCTTCATGGCTGATCATCACAACACTAGGGACATCGTTGACAATTGCATACAAATCGCGCAAGAAAATCCCAAAAAATGGAATAAGTCTGCACTGCGGCATGCGCAAAGCTCGCTGAATGGCTTCTCGATATGGTGTTGATAGACCAGTCTGACTACCAGGCAGCAATATATCACAGAACTGCAAACACACTTATGATTTTCGGCTTTTCCCTTGCTACTGCCTCAAAACACGACTAACGGCTACCTACTGCTCAGGCTGTCAACGAAAATGAGCTGCTACTTAAGAATAATTTAGCTACTTTTTTTGTATTTCTACTAACTGTTTCAGTAATTTGTTCAGTTTTAATTTTTGACTACGCCATGTGTCATCCTCAGTTGATTTATTCCCTTTTCTAACTGAAATTTTCGTAAAACCCTGGCGATTTTTGCTCATTTGATCGTTAAAAAATGCGCATGAGTTAATGCTACTTAAAAAAAAAAATCTGTTTGACTCTTCACTTGCATAACTTGTTAAGAAAATTAAAAGAAAATTAAAAAATTTATTACTCTCATTTTCCTTCAATAAATCAGTTCCCATGAAAGAAGCAGGAAATTTTATTATTCATTTATAGAAGGCATAATGACGAGGGCTTTAAGTAAATTTTCAGACCGTAAAAATTTAAGCAAGAAAATTTGTTGCCAACTACTAACAGCATGTCCTAGTTACTTCGGCTCGTTTTAACTACGGTATCTCTGAATGGAAGGGGTACACTCATTCGACTCAAGACAGCTCAGCATTTGAGCTCTTTAAAAGTCAAGCGGTGGTGGTAGAGGATTAAACTTCCAAATCGTTTGCCGACGAAAGCGCGGGTATGTGTAGTATCTCTCCACGTTCATATTCAGCTTTAAAAAAAACCTCTTCATATTTTCGCTTGTCATCAGGCTTCAACGACAACCAAAATGGCCGCAACTTTTCACTTCTTAATCCAATCAAAATTTCAACTGCTGCATTAAAATTGCCTGCAATTTTTTTCTACAGACAGAAGTTTAGCACTATTATTAGTTATCAGTCATCATAAGTTCATTTTTTCTTCCTCCGAATTGAGAAGAGGCGAAAGAACAAGCAGTGGCTTTGATGTTTGCCGTCAACTCTCCTTTTACGAAGTTATATAACGCTCGATCGATTATGCGTTTTTGTGAGACGCAGCGGATAGTTGAAAGCAAACATATGAGAGTTCTTTGTACCGCACTAAACGGTTTTTTGATCAGTCCATTAAAAAATATGCAGCTTAATCAGAATTTGAATACCGTACCACATGCTGCACCTGCATCAGCATGATACCGGCTTGTACGGCTAACATCACTCTACGTCGGGACATAACTGTAATTTTGTGGTTCTGATCCGCGCGAGGACTAGAATGATGCTTCCAAATTCCAGCTTCCTAGCTTTAGCAGTTTTGTAGTCGAGTCACAGTCACAAACAGACAATTATACATTGATAATTCATGCGGAACTACATAAAAATGGGAGAATGGAAAGCGTAAACATGCCTATCATATGCTCACAATATATTTATGCATGTAATACATAATCGAACAAAATCCTCCTCAGTGAATACTCAAGGAAATGATAAGCATGCTTCAAAAAGTGAATCGTTCTTATCAATCGCATTCCGGACTAGCGCAATTAGTTTTTCAAAAAAGTGATATATAAAAAAGCTAAGATCGCAAAGCAATACAAAAAAAAAAATAACCAATGTTCCAGCACACGTCGATCATGCGAATAATTGATGTAAGCGTTGTTTTTCTATCTTCATGTGTTGGCATACTTACAATGACATGCGTTATCCAGGAGCTGACCTGCGAAAAACAGTCGATTATTCTTTCTCAAAATCTCGGAATCTCAAAGGTATATCATTAAAATGTTGCTCCGGCCATATTTAAATCCAGTAATAAGGCATTTTTTTTAGAAAAATCAGAAAAGTATTAAAATTAGTAGTGCCGCAAAAGACTGAAAGGACCCTACGCTCTCTTCTAATCGTTACGGTTGCACAGCAAATGGAGGAGCCAGTAAAAATGCTAAATGTGCTTAAAATGTATGTTTTCACCTTTTCAGCGATTATAAAGCAGTGTTCAAAACTCGCAGCCTGCCATTTTCGGGAGTTATACCAACATGCACAAAACTCATTAAGACGACAAAAATGAGTGGGAAGGCGTATTCCGATCAGTTTAGGTCGGGACACTAATTTCAAATTTATTGCTCACTGATCAGCAAACTAAAGCTACAAAGTTTCATATGTGATTGATTATCTTCGTCCAAATTTTTGTCATCACATCAGCTAGGTTCGGGCTCACTGAACGCAGTGGAGCTTGAAAGCTGATTTCAGAATTTCCGGCTCATGCTGGAGGATAAGTTACATACTGAGATTTCAAATGCGTAGCCTTGCCTATTTGTAACTGCAAAATTAGCTACATTTTAAATCTGTTTTAGAAAATGAGAAAAGAATGGTGTGGGAACTGATTTTAGGTTTATGACCAAATACACAATCTAGTTTGATTAGCAGTAACTGCAGCATGTTTAGTCGGAAATTCTGCTCCTGAAATTCTAGCTTCTTAAATTCAGGAATTCTTGAGTTATGTCAACTGACACACACAAAGTTATGTCAACTAACACATACGTACATGCCCACCAGCAAACATAATGCGTTTTGAAACTATGCAAAAATGCGTAAGACTACCTTTTGACCTTCAAAACTAAAATGAATCATTGGTGGTGCGCACCAGACGCGCCGCGTGACCATGCGTTTTCGCAGTATTTCGTGCCCTAATGAGATCGTGTGAATCCCACTGGCTAGAATGTGTGACTTGCTGGCTCAGGAAGTTAATCGTGCAACTACGCGGTACTTGGACAAGGGACATTCCGTTAAAATTTCAGCATCCTAGATTCTCTGACTCCCGGGTCAGCAATTTTCCCGCCAAAAATTTTCACGGGGCCGTAAAACGAGAACTACGCACTCCTGGGACCACAATCTGAAATCTTCAAGCTGTACTGGGTTGGGAACATCCTCTTAATATTTCAGCCTCCTAGTTTTCTTGCCCACCAAATTAGCGATTTTCGCGCCAGGAACTCTTACGGGGCCGTACGTGGGAACCATGCACACGAGGGGGCTGAATTTGAAGACTTTGGGTCCTATGTGGACGGGGAACATAGTCTCAAAATTTCAGCTTTCTAGCTTTTCCCGTTCTTGAGTTAGCAATTTTCCCGCCAAAGCTTCTACGCTCTCGTACGCGGAGCTCAGACTTGAGTGAGGAGCGGTATCGCGGTCCTGGGGTGGCACTTGGCTGGGGAACCCAACAGCAAAATTTTGGCGCCGGAGCTTGCTTGGTTGCCGAGTTGAAATACCCGAACAGACGAACGCACACACACAGACACACACACACACACATACACACACAGACAGGGTCGTCGCAATGTGAGTTTTTGCAATCTGCATATAAGCAAAAACGCACAAAAACTGGTAGTCATGTACCTGGAGGTCCATGCAGTCCTACAGTGCGACACTTTCATCCCAACTGTGGCCCTTTCTCCTGTATGTCGGAGGAGGCCAGAGCACGGCCAATATGAGCCTAAGTGTTTGGTTACAGCGCGGGGATCATTCCTGCTGTTAGCGATCTGCGAGTTTAGTGCAAAAACGCATGACAGCACCGGCTCAGCTAGTGCGTTCCAGCCTAGGTTATTTGTGGTAAAAACCCTCGCGCTTGTAGGTGACAAGAAGGGAAAACAACCTGTAGCGAAGTCTTGAACTGAATGAGTGATCACATATTTGGTTTGATGAGTATGTGAAAAGCTTCTCTAAGGAGGTAAGCCAACCCTTGCGTGATTTATCGTATTCAGTTACAGCAATCCCTCAACAGAATATCACAAAAGCATTTAATGCAAACTACTAATTAATTTTACTTCATTTCTAAGAATTGCCCAAACACTTTTATTTTATCCCTCAATGAAGAAATTTTTGTGGACTGTTACGAAAAACGTAATTACGTTTCCAGTTGTGGTCATTCGTTTCGAAGTGCCAGCAACTCGCTAAGCTTAAATTTAAGACATGTTAGGGCTGACTTCAGTACATTCCATTTACAACAATAACTTGTCTTGGATAATAGAATTTTCCATGGAAAAAATGCAGAGAAAGGCAGAGAGGAGATAATTTGCACACGGGAAGTGCAACCCACCTCCGAGAGACGTTTAACAAGATTTCGAACAGGGCTAGGATTGTCTGCCGCTGGTACAGAGGTTAAATCACAGCTTACGTAGCGTACGTAATCCATCGGCTGCATGCCATAGAACAACTGGTATTCAGTTGTTGACAACTGAAATGTTATTACTCTTTAAAAAGCTTATACACAGCAGCAAGTTTTTTAACAAAATTTTTGAACAAACAAAAAAAAATGCATTGTTTGTGCTGTGTGTGTGTCAGCAATTTGCAAAACTAGAATAACGAAAGCTGAGGGTATGGGTTCGCATACAAATTCGGGCTAGTCTTGCAATATTAGCACGAACACAGCTACAAAATGAGAATTTCAACGGCACAGTTTACTACGGGAGGCCCACAGAATAACCCAATTTTATGAATGGAACCACGTTTTAAGGGCAACGTTAACTTTGTATGACTGCAGCAGGTTTAAAGATTCGATGTAAAACAGAATTTCATAATCACCAACGGTTCTGAGCGGTACTGTTTTTGCTTGACATCATGGCTTACAGCAAGCTGTATACAAAAACTGCATAACCAGTTCTTGCAGATCACACGGTGTAGCTTCGTGGCTCGCTAGACCAAATTCTCCCGCTATTCGGATAGGCATTCGGGGTTCCAGCACTTCATGTCCAACTACACACACTAGCTATGCTTCGTCACATTACAAATGTTTGAGGTTATAACACAAGCAAGAATACAAACCTAGGCTACACGATTTTGCTACAAGAAAAAATCATGCAAAAATGCATGACTGCGTCTGCGCGCAGCAACTAGGTCTTAACATTCGGAGTGTTTACAGATGCGTAATGGCGCTGCACAAAACACCATCTCATCATACCTGGAAAGCTACTTCTTCCGGAAAATGCAGTATATATTGTAGCCTTTCGAGTTCCGATCGAAACAATGTGATTGGCTCGTCGCCAATAATAAAACCATGGGCCACGGAGCTATTTGAACGCGATGAAGCTGAAAGGCCCATTCATTCTGCATAATTTTTCAATAAAGTTGCTTATGAAAATTTTTTATGAATTAACCAAACGAAACTGATTCTAGAAATTTTTGAAATTGGAAAAAAAGTATATCATGATCGCCTTGAGAATACCGATTTCAAAAAAAAGCAAAATGCGACTCTTTTTAATTTTTGCCGTTAAAAGCAAAACTCCAGCTGGAGCACTGATTTCTGGTACTAGTATGTCTTGGTCATCCCAAAGTTTTAAATTGACCTGTAAGTGCCAAGAATTTAGTTCCTCCAGAGACCTAAATTAGAAATTGGCAGGAACACTGCTGAGTAATAAGCACATTAATTCCTCCAGAATTTTTGATGCTGTCAAGCAACAAGTCGCAATAGTATAAACAAAAATAAGGCAGCAAATGGTAAATTTGTGCAGTTACTTCCTAGATATAAACTAACAGGTTCGCACAATGAGCTCGAAAAATGTAAATTAAAAGTGGTGTAAGAATTAATGTAAATTGTGGAATAGAAAACTAGACGAGTGAAATAATTTTATTGATCGTATTCATAATTTTCGAAAATTGAGAAAATTAATCGCAACCAAGTTTAGGAGAAAAATGTTTCAGAAAGGAAGCGAGTTCTGAAATCGCAACTTCAACCTGAACCAAATTAATCGGACCCACCACTCAATGCTTTTATTCCGTTCCCACAAACAGATATGCAGTACACACACTCATATATTTTTATAGACTCCATTAGCTCTTAAAAGAAAAATAAAAATGAATCTTAACAAGTGTAGCTTACGATGAAGTACTCCAGATGAACATTAATGCAAGGAAAAGTAATCTGAAGAGAAAAAATAGTGAGTCTAACAGTTTGGAATAATCTCTCACCTCATTCGTCGTTACGTAGGAGTAGCAGTGATTTCGACGGTATTGCAGCCCCACAAGGTGCACCCCTGGCAACTTTAATCTGGTCAAAAAGATGCAAAATTTCCTTGGCTACTCCTACTCTGCCAGTCAGATTCGAGAGTGAGCATTAAGTAATAGCCAAGCATTTTTTTATCAAGATGTTGTGCGCACTTGCCGGAGATAGCACTAGAGGAATCTTAGCTCTTATTTGCATATTAGTAGAAAAGAAACTGCAAGGGAGAGCAATAAAAGTAACTGCTGTCCTGAGGAAACGGTTAGCAGTTAGCAAAGGAAGCAGTTAACAGTTAATTTAGCAGTTAGCAAAAGTGATGCTGAAGAGTGAAGGTGAATAATGTAGGACTGGAAACAGGAAGAAATGTTTGGAAAATTCAACATGGTCTGTTATGGTTTTGAAGACTGTAGCCAATTTCTTCTGATTCAATTGGTTTATGACAGAAAAAAAAGAGATCCAGGAGTTAAAAAGAATCGAAATTGTCCTATTGTGTAAGCGACAACGAAAATTTGAAAAATAACATGCTTATAAGCTGTTTGGAAAGATTACTGCTTAGGTGCCTGACAGCAATTTTCGATAAACAACAATTGAGAGAAAAGGCAAAATTTAAAAGACTCACTACTCAACAGATTACGTTATGACTCTAAGAAGCTGCTAAAAGGCCTCAAAGAGTATCACATCTCATTTCGCTCTTCTATTAGCTTTACAGCTACGAGTTCCTGTGAGGGAAAGGATTATTGGAAATTGTGCATGAAGGTAAAAAATCGAAAATGTGTTGTTTAATCGATGTGGCTTTCACCACTCCGGTGCAGATATCTGTAAAGTATGGCACAAGACCGGATGCGCCTCCACCACCGAAGTTTCCCGAGAATTTTTTCAAAAAACAGCACTTTACGAACTTGATCGAGAAGTTCGCTCGAGCATCAAGCAAAAATAACCAACCCCCTTACGAGTATTATAGACTGCGCAGTCCTCACTGCTATTACGACTGGTAAAATACACGAAATGTGGAGGAAGCCTAAAGCATGCAAAAATGAAGTAAGCCTAAGCAAAGTACCGAAAGCTCAGAGTCAAACAACTGGTGGGCGGTTGGTAGCTTCGCCCAAACGTAACAGAAAGTGAGCATGCATCACAGTTGGTCAAACGACGAAAACTGCTGCAGTATCTTCAGAACCCTTACAGTGTCAAATTAAAAAACGTCGTAATTACGTTTGCCAGTGCTATCAGTACCGAAGGCAGTGAAATACGAACTGTGTCAGTGAAAATGTACAAAAATAGACGAGGGTCGTGATCAGGGAGGAGTCGATGGAGCGGAGAATGCCTGAAGTATTAAAATCCACACATTACGCGAGATGAAAGGCGCTAAAAGCTATAGTCATGAAAAAACAAAATTTATTGAGTGGGACACTTTGCTCGTTTGCTGACAGTCATCTGGCATTGGCCATGAACAAATGGCACCATTGGGAAAGAAAACGTTGCCCGTCAGAGGACCAACGAGAAAACGCTGGCTGTTCATCATCTCAAAACGTATGCCATCTGAAGACAAGCAATACCGAATGAGAAGTAACGAACTGCTCTCGAAGCATGGGTCTACTAAATAACACCGTGGACTCATTAGAGACAAAGCAAACAGTATAGCTAATAAACTAAGATGTCCAAGTATGGTCATAGAAAAGACTGAAGCTACTTAGCAGTAGTAGCAATGGTAGTAGTGCCAAATTTATATCCATGTGCTAACTTAAATTGCCTCGTGAGGTCATGTTCAACTATTAGGAGAAGCAACTGTAACAACTTTGAGAACAACTAGAAATTTGCTGGCAGTTTTGTAGGAAAACGGTTACTCTGCTTGCTGAGGATAATAAAGTCAAGTTAATCGAGGCATCATGTTAATTATGTTGAAACAGCACTCGTAACTTACGAATTTGCTGCAGTTGAAACCATTTTACTGGTAAGAATGGTACAGTTAGCACAGAAAACAAAATATGCAAAATAATAAATACCTAATTTGCAGACAAACACAAGCAACGAATTTGATTTTGGAGGCGACGTATTCAAATGTATAGCATTGATTAGTCGTCCAACAACAGTGCTTGCCATATGCTGGGAATTTTAAGCAGCAGGAGGAAGTCTGGATAAAAACTAGAGGAGCCGAGTAATGAAAATCCTCCAGATTTCAGTGAAAATAACGAGAATTCCGGATGAACAATTTTTAAAAATTTAAATTAGCGAATTAAACTTCTATGTCAGAAAATTAAGGCAGAAGAGAGTGCGGGAGAGGGGGGACAGAACGACCAGGGTCGGAATAGCAAGCAATTCCTCGCTGTAGTTTGAAGGTATGGTTAAATAAGCATATGGCAGATCTCAGACACGAGCGTGCTGTATGAGACCCGCATGCTTGCTTTTCTAGCTTACTATAGCTGCTGTTGTTTCTGCTTCAAGGAGAAAAGGGTGGGGGAACATTTTCGTCTCATCTTCCAGTTTTTTGTCTTCTGAAGGCAATCTATCCCAAAGGAACATCCACACTGACGCAAAATATATGATTTCTTTGACGAAAAAAGGAAAAGCAGGGCGGCTTGAGGTTTGGGTTGAGTGGCCCTCTGGCTTCCTTTTCTCCTCCTATCTTCCTTCACAGGATCCTTCGCAAGGATGCCAGAGTTCTGTTTTAATTCGAAATGTTCCAAAAAGTGCTCTGGAATAAAGAAAGTGAACTTGAAACAGAAGCAGAGGTTTTTGGACAAAATACGAAGAGTGCTGCACTTACAATGAGTTCCCATGAGATATTTTGCAAAAAAAAAAGACAGAAAGGAGGGAAAATTCAAAAAGGAAATCTGCACACTTCAAAGCACAAAATTCTGCGCAGATCTTTGGATTACCTTTTATTCAACAATGAATGGATGACAAGGGCTCTTCTCTAGAGCACAAACCAATTCAGGGGGCAGCTTGTTCAGAGAGGTTCCAAGTCCTTATTTCGTCATAACACCCTGCATGGGCAAATCATTCAGAAAACAACTACATCGTCCACTATATAACCGGCCGTTCTTTTCAGATTATGGACCATAGGTTTACTGGTATAGGTTGAGCCCAGAACAGTAGAAAAGCAACCACATTTCCCCTGATTCAGGATCCTCAGATAGGTTAGAGTGGGAGAAAAGTCATGTGTAACGGGTTACACTTATCCATGGCTGAATTTGATTTTACAACACGGATCAATGCTGCGGCACGAATAGTCTACAAAAGACAGCTCAACCGAATACTAATTTAACAATCAAAAATTAAGTCAAAAAAAGGTTTCCACAATGGGAAGAATCCATTATCTTTTTAACGCACTCAAAATAAATATGTTAATTCCAGTTTTTTTAAAAAGAAGCCCTATCTTTTCTGGCGAAAGCAGTCAAGAGGTAAAAATAGTGGCTCAATAGGCAGCTAGTGACATGCTTTTTTATTCTTTAAATTTCCGTTAAGTCAATACGCAGACAAAGTTGATTGTAGATCGAATTTGAGAAGCACTGCAGGAGAGATTTGGCAAGGTAAAACTGATCTCTTAACCTATTTTTTTCGAATACAGCTAGAAATATTGGAAAAACTCTTTGGGAGGGAAGTGTTGCAAGCATACCTGAGTTCATATCAGCAGAAGATGTGCCGTACTGGCAACCAGCGGTTAAGACAGTCTTTCGAGCAGAAGAACTGGAAGTGCTTTGCATCATTTCCCACAACGTCATCGAAATCGACTTGACCGCGGTGTATGATAATGCTGAAAGACGGAATAATAAAACGCAGCTCTAAATAATCTAATTCCTACATATAAGCAAATATTTTCTTGCCGTAAAACATGATTGCTTCTATTATCTAGAAAACGAAGGCACTCCAAGTGCTTTAGCAAGGGCAGTATAATGTACTCTATGGCTTGATTCGGAGACGGCAGTGCTGGAAAAGAGGCTAACTGAGCATTCGAGCTTACCGGAGCCGCGAAAACATTCTCTATCAGAAAAGGAATGAACAATCGCACCACAGAAGTAAGTTAATCCAGTTTATTTTCGAGGAGCAGAGTTCAGAACGCTGCTCAGGTTTGCGCATATATTTAACACACAGTCGGTCTGGAAGAG